CGCGCGCACAAGGCCAAGAAGGCGGCGGCGGCTGCCGGCGCGAAGAAGGTGAAGAAGGCGGCCAAACCCAACGTGCCCAAGGTGCCCAAGGGCCGCAAGTGACGCCCGACGGTCTGGCGACGTTGACAAGTTTTCCGTCTCTACCCCCGCAGTGTACCGGTTCGGTACGGTTCGGCCTGGCCCAGGTCCCCACTCCCCGTCCTTTTCCTGCCCCTCCCCCAGCGATGCTACGTTCTGTTTGCTTTAGGTTTTTGAAACGGCCCTGGCGACGCCTCCATTGGCTCTCACCCTTGGCAACGGCCGTCGTCATGGTTACCGGCCCGGCGGCGCCAATGGCCTGGCGGCGCCTGCCTGCCGTGCCCGCCGCTGGCCACCCCGCACTCCGGTTGCGCGGCGCCTTGCTCCGCCCGCCCGCCGCCCTCCTGGGGCGCAATAAACGGTTCCAACCTTGACCCTTGTCGTTGTCTCGTGAGCGCTGAGGGCTGCGGGGGTGGAGTGGGGGTTCCTGCGGGGGGAGTCGAGGTTCCTAAGCTCAGCTAGGCAACTAGCCGACCGCGCTGGCCGCAGTGGGACAGGTGTGCCCTGAGACAGCTGGCCAGTGGAGAGCATACCTATAAGAAATGTTAAGAGTGGGATCCCAGCCTCAGGTCTCCGCACTGACCAGCATATACAGACTAGCTGTCCGCATGCTGGGGATTAAACCTCAGGATCCAGTCTAACAATGGACTGTTTTGCCAAATGGAAGACCTGCAAAGTTCTAGAATACTATGTACACATAAGGTGTGGGAGTGAGCTGGAGCCAGGGTTGGTGAGAGATAACAATGCTCCTTCCCTGTATCACTTTTTTTAAAGTGGGGAAGGGCCTTGGGACAATGGCTGAGGGTGGGAAGGGACCAGCGTTTCTTGGCTGATGTGATCATGAGACTCAGCCACCTGAACAAAGTGGTCACTTCACTGCACTGCCTCTTGAATTCTGGTACCTGGCTGAAGGTTTCCTGCAAAAGGCATGGCCAGGTACCATGTTGAATTGGGCTCTACCATCCCCAAGCTGGCTCACCCCCAAATGGCTCAGCCCCTGTCCACAGGGTCATGACAGGCTAGACCCTGGAAACAACCTTACCCAGTTCCACGGGTATTTTTGAGGTTTCCTGAAGGCTAAGGGTTGGCTTGTCTGCCTGAGTGTTCCCAGTACTCCACAGCCAGCACCGTGGCTCTTATCCAAGTGCCTGGTAAAATCCCTAACCTATCTCCTGCCTGCCCTGCTATAATCCTCTTTTTGGGTACTCTGGGGCCTCTTGGTGCCTTTCAAATTGTCATTATTACCTCATTCTTTCCATAACTCCCAACTCTGCACACCTGCCTTCCAGGGACTTACCCCTCACATGCCCATCCCTTGTAACTTAGCATCCCATTCCTTGGAGATGCTGGTTCTTGGCTTCTGCCTTCCGCCCCATGCCTAAGTGTAGGCCCTCCTAGACACTGAAGTACACAGAGCAGTCCTCAATAGGTGTCTGAGGTTTTCTATTGCTGTGATGAAACACCATGACCTTAGCAATATGGGGAAGAAAGGGTTTATTTGGCTTACACATCCTAAGTCTCAATCTATTGAGAGATGCCAAGGCAGGAACTCAGACGGGGCAGGAAACGGAAACCGATGCAGAGGTAGGTCATGGAGGAATGCTGCTTGCTGGCTTACTCCTCTTGGCTTGCTCAGTTTGCTTTCTTGTAGAACCCAGTACCACTAGGGATGATACAACCCATTAGGAGCTGGGCCCTCCCCCATCAATCACTAATAAAGAAAATGCCATACAGGCTTGCCTACAGCCTGTTCTTATGGAAGCATTTTCTCCCTTGAGGTTCTCTCCTCTCAGATGACTCTAGCTCCTGTCAAGATGACTTGAAACTATCCAGCAAGGTAGGTCAGGGCCTCTGCGCATCCGTAAATGTCCTTTGGGGACCAAGCCCACCCTAGGGTCAGGTTACAGGGCTGGCAGAATACTGAACCCCTCCAGCCCCAGGGGTAGTCATGTGACCTAAGACCTGGCCAGTGAGTGCTTAAGTCCGTTGTTAACTTGGCTTCAGTGGCTGAGACAGAGATGGGTTCAGTGCCAACCACTGGAGGGCTTCTCTGGGCACCACTGAGAAACAGCTGCTCTTCCTGAGGACCGCTAAATGGTAGCAATGTAAGTCCAGGGTTGCTTGTGGGAGAGGCTGCCTGACAAGGAATCAAGATTGGGGCACTGGAGGCAGGAAATGGACACCTGCCTAAAGGCCTCACCACCCTAGGACTGCTGCATGGCTCTGTAGAGGAGTCTGTTGGAGTTGGGTTTCTGACAGCTGCGTTCTGTCCTCCAAACTCCTTTGATTACCTTTTCTCACCACATCCCTGGACTTTGACATTTCTTCAAACGGTTGTTCTTCTAAACCATCTGCCCAGGGTCCCCAATCGCCACTCCCTACCTGCTCATCCAGACTCACCTCTTAGGCTTGCCAACTTCCTCCACACTGAGTTCACCCAAGTAAACTTGAAAAAAAGAGGCTTCCCAAGTTAAGGCTATATGACCCTAGCCAGCCACTCCTGACAATTTGCAGTGGCCAGGAGCTCAGAGCGGGGCTTCTTCAGTCTCCTCCAACTCAGAGAAGAATGTGGGCAAAAGGGGACTTAACTGATGCAACTATTGAGCCCTTGGGATGTGACACAGCCAGCCAATGGCCAGGTTCCTCCTGACATATTCTGCTCCTGAACTGAGGAAGTCTAGGATCTATTTCCTTAATAGGTCCTGATCTTGGCCCCAATGACCCTGGATTAAGTTTGAACACAGATGACACCTGGCTAAGGAAAAAGGTTTTCTGGTTGAGGTAGCCCAATATAGCCAAGAGCAGAGGACTTACAATACATAAAGCAGCTGAGGCCTGAGTGCCTCTCTGCACCCACTAATGGGAAGGGCTGGTAGAGGCTGAGGCTCAGGGTGCTGGACCTGGCTTCACGGGGGCTTTTGGTTGGAGGACAAAGATTATTCTCTCCAAGCCAGAGTTTCCTCACGTAGAGTCAAGGCTGGGTTACTTGTGAATGTACACCTGCAAACAGGCTACCACTTTGTGAGCTCCCAGATCTCAGGTATTCTTTGGAGGTCTCGAGGTCTGCCTTCTTTCTGGCCTTGGGACAGCCCTGCAGACACTTATCCTGGGTACTGCAGCTATAGTGACCACAGGCTGGGGTCTCCATGTCTGGACCAACCTGTCCTGGACGTGTGCCTCTGCCAGATATGGCTCAGAGCTGAGCATGGGTGCTGGGAAGGGTGCTACCGAAGACCTTGAATCACATACCCGGTAAGTCAGTTCTGTGTGGTGTAGCCCAGTGCTCATTAGGCATTCTGGCCTTGCCAGCAGTCCCGAGGCAGCAGTGTGGCTCTGATCCTCCTCAGCAAGTGCCATTCCGGCCACTTACTTGTCACAAGATAGAGGCCGCAACGCTGGCGGAGGTGTTGAAGAACAAAGTGAGAACTTATGTGTCAAGAGCCGCATCTGCAGTCCTTCACTCAGCGCTTAACTGGACGGCCCTTCCGGACAGTGTCAGGCTGGGGACAGAACAGAGAAGTCAGCAGCTTCTTGGTAGGGACCGTGAAGCTGGGAGACTCAGGACTAACACGGTCCTGGGGTCTGGAAGATGCTTCTGGGGAGTGAGGAGCAGCATCAGAGGGGAGCGGAACTCGGGTTCCTGGGTCAACCGGAGCTCAACAGGGAAGCAGAAGCTGAGGGGGCACAGGAGGAGATGCGGGAGTCTGACGTATTATGGCCATTTTGTAAGGATGTCTTCACGACAGTTGGAATGTGAAGCCACAGCAGGCAGGAACCCCACTACCTGAGAAGGAACTCCAGCACGTCGTGGAACCTGTCATGGCAATGGCAGCATCTTGGAGAAGTCCAGACCCTTGTTCTCTGTTCCTGGTGACAGAAAGGCTGGGGAGAATGGTGCTGGGCTCTGAACCTCAGGAAAGTGAGCAGATAAACAAACGACATGGCAACTTCCTGCTGAATCTGGCAGGAATCTGCCCAGCAGCCCACCCAGACAGGAAATAGGCAAACAAGGTTGTTCTGGGCACAGAAAATGAAGTGTATGGCATGAGGGGGAGGAGAGTATATTAGTCCAGGTTCTCTGGAGGAACAGAACTGATAGGATGAATCTATACAGAGAGAAAGGGGATTTATTAGGACGGCTTACTAGTGGTCCAGCTAATCCAACAATGGCTGTCTGCCAATGGAAGGTTCAAGAATCCAGTAGTTGTTCAGTCCATGAGGCTGGGTGTCTCAGCTGGTCTTCAGTACATGCTAGATACTGAAGAAGGTTCTAATGCTATGAAGGAATGGACTTGCCAGCAAGAGTGAGAGCAAGCAGGCAAAGAGAGCAAGCTTCCT